TTTTTTTTTCTTTTTTTTTGCGCGAACAATCATCTCAATAACGTCATACCTCTCACACGTATCTAGCAACAACAGGAAGTCTTCTTGTCGTTTTCATGTAGCGTTTAATTAATGAATTTTAATATAATTTTCATTTCAGTGGCTGTAAAATTACCAAATTTGAAAGTGTTACGTCTTAAGTGTGCGACGATATAGCTCCGTAAAGTTGCGAAAATCTACTGACGTTTGTACGTGATGGGGTGGGTGTCGTGGGGGGGGGGAGGGGGGGGAGGGACCAAGACTGTCCCCGACCCCTCACCATACAAACGTTTGTAAAATTTCCCGACTTTGAGGCCGAGCTATATCTTCGTTGGTTTTCAACAAATCACTTTCAAACTTGGCAAATTTTCTAATTTCAAGGCATTTTTTTTCTAATGGTGAAAAAAAAAATAATAATAATAAAGAAATAAATAAAAGTGGAATGGTCTATCCTGAAAGAGGAACCCTTTTAAGCAGAGCCTCCCCATATAGGTCATTATAGTGAGCCCGCCAAAACACCCCTCCCCGCCTCTCAAGGTATAAGATACGGGAATTTAAAAATAGCCCACTAACATTAGACACGTTGAGGCTTGTTTAGTTGGAGTTTAATGGAGCTGCTACTTTTTCTGATATAACAACATAACATAGCCAACTTGGACTGAAGGCAAAGTATTATTTTTGGCGCACTATAGAGGAAAGGCATCGACTACCGTTAGAAACGCAAAGTCGTGATAGCATGCATAAAACTTTGTTGCTTTTGTAACAATTTATGTTCTGTAATATATTTTTGGAATGTTCATCTTTTGACCCTGTTTCAGTACTCTGAAGCTGGCTTATAAACAGAGAATGAGAAGATGCAAAAAATTGCCATAAAAGGAAAAACAAACAAACAATATACAGGAAAAGAGGTTTTACTTAAAATATTTGCTATAAAATGAATGAGCACGTAGCACGGATTTCAAAAAACGCTGCGTTCTCGTGCTATTCTCACCGCCATGGTTCAGTATTTCGCTGTTTTCCTGATTCTCTCTTTTTTTGGCGGCTCACTGGTAACAACCACCTCACCTCAGCAACGAAACGATTCAAAGTTAAAAGACTTATGCCAGGTAAGAAATGCATAGAGATATAAACAAGGAGAATTGCGCCGTAGATTAGGTACACCCAGAAACTGTTTTACTAGTCTCACGTCGTTATTATCATTTACTAAATAGTACCCGTTACTAGTGTATGGCAGTTTATTTAAAAGTCCTCGCTTCAGCATGATCTTTCCTCGAAAACCTGATGCCTGTCCATTGTTAACTGTTAATTTTCTCTGTTTCTATCCAAGTCCATTCGAGGCGAGATAACGCTTTAACTTTAACAGTAGCTAAAAACGTAGGCTCATGGTTTGATGAGAAGCTCACTATGTCAACTCATATTAACAAGTTATGTGGTGTTGCCTTTTACCATTAGGCAAGTATTTGCCTCGAGAATCAACGGAAATGTTTGTCCATGCATTTATTACATCTCGTGTTGATTATGGTAACAGTCTTTTGTATGGGCTGCCCAACTACCAGCTTAACAAAGTGCAGAGAGTTTTGAATGCCTCAGCCAGGCTAGTTTGTAATGCCCCTAAGTTTTGCCACATCTCACCCCTTCTTCGTGGTCTGCATTGGCTTCCTGTTAAAGCCCGGATACAATTTAAGATACTGCTTATTACGTTCAAAGCAATTCACGGCCTTGCTCCTAAATATCTACGCGATTTACTAACACTTAAATCGTCCTTATATAACCTTAGATCTTCAGGTAGTATTTTACTTTTTATGCAAGCTGTTCAATCGAAGACGTTAGGTGATAGAGCTTCTATGGTAGCAGCGCCAAGGCTCTGGAACTCTCTTCCAAAAGAACTTCGTACGATTACTAATGTGAACAGTTTTAAGGCGCATATTAAGACTTATCTTTTTAGAACTTTATATTGGTGAGCAATTTTATATTCAGTTCTTACTTACATGCATATATATTCTTTTTATTTTTTATTTTTAAATGCATTATCTTTTATTAAATTCTTGTAAAGTAATGCAGTTGTAATGCGCATCTGATCATTCTCATGTTAAGCTGTGCACAATAAGTTCATAAATTATTATCATTATTATTATTATTATTATTATTATTATTATTATTATTATTATAAATAGAATTATGATGTCCAAGGTCCATTCCGTGCCTCGAAAACAAGGGAGAGGGCTGGCGTGTACAGACTTTGTTCATTTTGATGTGGAATCATTGTTTTCGAGGGAGCTACGGGCGTGTATGAACGTACTAGTTATTGCTGCAATTCCAGATGAGAAGGAAAGAGAAATAATTATGCGAATTCTTCTTCGTTGTTGTTCTTAATCTAAGTAATGGTGACATTCATAATTTCTTGGAGACAAGGTCTGAAAACTGGTGTGGATTTTAGACTCTGAAAACGAGTGTAAAAAATAACGTGTTTTGGTCTGAAATAGAGTCAGGATTTGGGGAACAGGGCGGCACATTCCCACCGAAAATTCCCAGGAGTACATCCCCCCCCCTCCCCGAGTCATTTACAATCGTCTCTGCTAATTACAAGTCATCTTTACTTTCAGCGATCTCTGTTGGGTTTCCCTGGTATTCCAGGATCAAATGGGATACCGGGAGTGCCGGGCGTCCCGGGCCCACACGGACCCCAGGGAAGGGAAGGTGTAAAAGGACAAATTGGTGATAAAGGATCACAAGGAATGCCGGGTCCAAGAGGAGACAGAGGGCGCGAAGGACCCCCTGGGAAGAGTGGACCCCGAGGAATTCAGGGAATGAAAGGTCAACAGGGACTTCTGGGAATGAAAGGAGAGCGCGGAGCAGTGGGAATAAAAGGAGAGCGAGGCATTGTGGGAATGAAAGGAGAGCAAGGAGCTGTGGGAATGAAAGGACAGCGAGGCATTGTGGGAAATTCAGGAAGAAAAGGAGACAAGGAGAGAAAGGAGAAAGCGCCAAAGCAAGTCAATCAAGTGTAGTACCACAAACCAACTGGAAACAATGTGTGTGGAAATCAGGCATCAGTACTGATAACGGAAAGATTAAGGTAATTAGAATAAGAATCATAACAAACTCTAAAGGAAAGTAATTCCGCTCTACATCAAAATATTTCAAAGAAGAACGTCTCCCTTCTCACTCACCATTTGCCAACACATTACAAAAATAAAATAACTAAGTTACATTTCTCTCTACTTTGGTTCTTTTTGAACGAAAAAAGGAAAGTCATCTTGGGTGATAAAATGATTCCTGGCCATAAGGGTAACGAAATTGAAGCATTTACAGAGTTTTTACAAATTAGAAAGTAATCTTGACTGGAGTTGTTAGTATCAATCATTACACACGGTTGCTCACCTTACTACAATATGTTTGATTTGTTTGATTTTACTCCAGAACTGTGCATTTAACAAACTGCAGTCTAATTCAGCGCTCAGAGTCTCATTCCAGGGAAACATGAGGGTCGAAGGTACTAGTTCTAAGTGTAATCGCTGGTATTTCAAGTTCAATGGAAATGAATGCAGTGGACCAATGACGATTGACGCTGTTATTTACAACTACTGGCCATCTGGGAACCCTAATCTGCTGCATCATCGGTCACTTGAGGGATACTGTGAAAACATCCCACAAGGCGCTGTTAGAGTGGAATTGTGGGTAGGAAAGTGTAGTGGCTACACCCTGGGTGATGCTCACACTGGGTGGAATTCAGTATCTCGGATAATGATTGAAGAAGTATCTAGGTCCCAGTCCTAACAAGGGGAGTCCTTAACTTTGGCGCCGTTTTAATTTCCTTAGAATAGCATTCTACAAATATAGACTGTAAAGCGCAAGGAAGTTTTTTTTTTTTTTTTAAGCCCTTTTGAGAACTACCTCCGTCTTATATCAGATTGTCAATAGTAAACTCTAATAACAGTATCATGATTTTGTATTGTTATGTCATGTTAGTCCTGTGCAGCAGCTCTTTGTTTTGTCACGCAGTGCTTCTCTAGCTTGATTGTGGGGAGGCACCTTTCGTGACCACACAATAACCGGCTGAGCCCGTAGGGGATTGGTCTCCGATGCAGCCTGTCTTGTCACGTATCGCTACTTCTCGTTGCTTGACGAGACAAAATGGCTATGATTAAGAGCGATTGATTGGCGATACTTTTTGTAGATGAAATGTTATGGATGCAAAATATATCACTAAAGCTTCAGGGGAACTCATTCTTTCTCGGGTTACCATGGATACCATCAGATTGTCGGTCGTTTCCTAAGTCTATAATATGTAGTCAAAGTAGAGGTCGTGAAATAATCTTTCATCTCAACGACAAAAAAATCTGCGGAAAAGGTAACCATCGCATTTAAAATATTTTCGTCTGGAAAATCTTTAATCCAATCCGAAAGTGAAAACGATTTAATTAAAACGTGCTTAATTAAATCAAACGGCACGATTCCTTTTGTAGCCAAACCGCTTCGAGGCAAGATCATTATTAAAAGCGGATTAGATTTCGAGGATTAAAATCGCACCTTGTAAAATTTATATCAATTAGCTAGGAAGATGAATACGATGATAGAATAACTTGATAATCTCTGGCATACGTGGCAAACGTTCGAAAGGCAGCGAGGGAAGGGAATGTAAGAGCGAGACCGCGCGCGACGGGGAAGCGAGAAGAGGAACGCGTTCTCCTTCCTCATTCCTCGCGCGCCCTTCACGTTTCTCACGCACCGAGAATCTCCTTTTCCTCCCTTTTCAAAAGCCTGTCACGCAGGTTAGATTACCTCTCAAACAGTAGAAAAATGGAATGTTTTTATTCGTAACATTGAGATTCTTGTCAAACCTTCGCATTACCTTAATAGCATCTTTGTTTTATTTCTTGCTTGTCAGTTTAGTTTGTTTCAATGTGTCAGGCATTAATTAATTAAAGCTTTCTATTCATTGTTTCAATAAAAGACAGTATCTTACAGTATGTACAAATCTTGTCCATTATTTTTGTTAACAAACAAGATTGAACTCCTTATGTCCGCTCCTTAACAGAAAAATTCCCGTACAGTCTCACAATATCGATCTATCCAATGCAGCTATTTGTAGCCTTGCCTGTTCGAGTGCATTTATAAAGAAAGAAGTAACTTGAAGTTCCCAGAGTTTCTTAACTTAGAAATCTTTGGATACCTAAATCATCAGCGCCGTATGGGTATACCCAGTAGGGGATACCGTATGGGTATACCCGATAGGGGAAAACGTATGTATATTCCCGGTTCGATCCCGGTAAAGGATGCCCATACAGCAAGTTATATCAAGTTAAGTTATGCCGGACCGTCGCAGCACGAACTTCCGTCAAGAGTACAATTCTTTTTAATTAGGAAGGCTTTTATTGCTTTGAACGTTTTTATTCCAAAGTTTAACTACTTTATCCTTTCTGTGTTTTTTATGGTTTCCTTGAAAATACTGACACTTTTGTCTTAACCTGATAGCAACTGATCGTCTTTGGAGAGTTATCTTTTCTAGCATCCTAACCGAAAAAAACGTTTCCTCGATGTTTCAGCCAAAGGTGAACTAATAAAAGATTAAAATAGCCAAAAACAAAAACAACAACAACAACAACAACAACAACAACAACAAAACAGGGACCTATAATAAAAATTACAAACGTAAAACAAGTGTCGACCCTGCACCGACCCATAGGAACTCCTCTGATTTTTATTTGGGTTGGAGGATACCCAAGACGTTGGCGAACAGGACGTTATCGAAACGATTAATTCATGACGCCAGGGTACCGAGGAGATGTGTTTGTCGTTAGAACATCAAAACCCGTCGAAAACCTCTGAAAAAATGGGTTCTTTTGATCGCGTTATAGTTTCGTTACACATTCTATAGACCGCAAACCAAGAGACTGAGGGCTTGCAAGATCGGCTTACAGCACGTCACCCGAAGGGTGACCGAAGGCAGCCGCCAGAAGGGCGACCGAAGCACGAAGTGCCGAGTAAAAGAAACGACAAGGGAGGAAACTTGTACCACGTGACTTCGTTCGCTGTGAACCGCATCACTCGGTGACGGAAGTGAATGAGACCAGAAACGCAAAAGCAACAGACCGCTGCTAATTTAAGAATCAAAACATCAGCTGCGGAGAGAGTTTTAAAGATCTCAGAGATCTATGAGAAGGCAACAGAGATTTAATTGAATTGAAGATCTTTCAAGACTGGACATTTGTTGTACGTTTCAACAGTCTTCGATGTCTTAAGCAGGTTTGCTTGTGCGAAGGCTTCCCAGTAGTCGCAAAACGCACAGCCAAAGACGCAAGAGGTATTATAGTTGGACCACCGAAGAATGACACCGTCGTGATGATATTACAGTTGCCTTGTGCGTCCGCTCTACTCAGTGTCACGTTTTGTTGCAAGAGTACACACGACCCGTAAATCACTATCCGTAACAATTTAACATTCTCCAAACAAAACTAACGAGCTGGGCCCAGCGTGATACAGCATTGCAGAAAAACATTACATTCCCGGACTAAAGAAAATGGCTTAGTTATTCAGATCCAGAAGGCACTTTGGAGAAAATTGGAACTCCTGTTCGGCCGTAAAAAAAAGCTTTACGCTTCAAAAGAGGTCAAAGAAAGATTGCATCAGAGGGCAAATCCTGCCGACAAGAAATAATAACCATAGTAAATCGATATGTGTCATGACCTCTTAGTGTGAAACATGCGGCTAAAATTCCCGCTAAAATCACATTTGCTGTAGAACCTTCCAGAGCATAATCTACCCAGCCGAGGAAAAAAAACTTTATTGGAACGAGCAGCATTTTAACATGGGTCAAAAGTCGTGTAGGCTTCCCTTTTATTGCTCCGCTTTTGAGCACATTTACTTTACTACGTCATTTCCGTCACCATCTGTTGCGGTGCACAGCGAAAGAAAGCGCTATCTCGAAGCCGTAAATTTCGGTCGCCGAAAATGAATTTCAACGCTTTTTTATGCCGTTTTCCTACAGCATTTGGCAAATGCATAAGAATTCTAGATCAGGTTAGTAAAATCAGGCGACTTCATTCAATTCCATGTGAGTTTCATGGATTCGAAAATCGGCCCCAATTTGTTTCCTCCCTTTCCGTATTTTATACTGTAAGCCGATCTTGCGAGCCCTCAGTCTCTTGGTATGCGGTCTATAGAATGTGTAACGAAACTGTAACGCTATCAAAATAACCCATTTTTTCAGAGGTTTTCGACGGGTTTTTATGTTCTAACGACAAACATATCTCCTCTGGACCCTGTGACTTTTCATGAGCCGAACCTGATACATTGAATAAAGTACATGAAAAGTTCGGCGTCATGAATCAATTAGGAACGCCTGGTTCAATTGGACACAGCTCAGCCGTTCCAGTTTCGCCTAGCCTGGCTGGGAATTTCGCCTTTGGAGCGACTTTCGAAAAGCTTGGAATTAGACGCCGAACTTTTCATGTATCGAACCTAATGCCTAAATTATTTTACGTATTTTGTAAGCAGTTTGACCGAAATGAGCATTTTTAGCCTTTTGAATTTAGTTTAGCCGAAATTAAGATCGGCGTGTTTGAATCAATTCAGCTGGTCTAAATAATTGGGTCGGCCTTAATTCGAATTAGTTTCGGCTTATGAAAAGTTCGGCGTCTGAACCGGGCCTAAGACGGCCCCTTTTGTCGAATCCAACCGTGTCTGTGCGAATTAACTGTGTTGTAGCAGTGTTTAATTTATTTTGTTAGATGTATTATGTATCTCACAATACCTTCTAAACTACAAACAGAACTCGGGGGGGGGGGGATTTCCTTATAAGAGCCTAATGGGGATGTGACGCTAGATGGGGTCGCATTTTCACAACTGGATTGACTACAGTGAGGTTGCACATGTTTTCAACATATTTACTAGAATGGGTTCGCACATTTTTGGATTTTTTGGGGTAAGACGTCTTCATATTAGCGGCTAACAAACGTACCGGGAAAGTGTTCGTCATTCGGTTTAAAAAAAAAATGGGTCGATTCATAAAAATAGAAAGTGGCTAAGTTGGGATCGCAAAAATTACATATTTGCCCAAAAGTGACTAAGATGGGGTCTATAATTGGTCACAAAATAGACTATAATGGGGTAGGGGCTCTGAGAGGCCAGGGCCACATACCTAGCAAAAATTTACCCAAGTACCCCTCCCCGGAAACAGAACCTTAAATATATCATTCGTTATAATATTGAATGTTGCAGAAAGTACATTGGTCAAATTTATACAGATGGTCTTGTCCATGATGAAAAAGCTCTTAAATTACTAGTTGACACTATTGGTCAGGTAAAGAGTTCAGTGACTTCTAAGTAACGACCTCAGCACAGAATTGGCCTAAAACAGTAAATAACCCGATGACCATGACGTAGCCCCTTTAATAAATAGACAAAATGTGCCATATCAATGTGATGTAAAATGTCTTAACCCTTTTAATAAGTCATAAGAGTGACCAATATGAACTTTCTCCTCACAATATCAGCACTATCAAGGGAAATGGTTATGACAGTTGATAAAATTATCACCAAAAACAGTGTGGAGAATTTGTATGTAGATATTGGGACTTAAAGGTTAATTATCATGGTAACAAAGACGCAACTTCTTATTTAAAACAGTTATGGCTTCTTTGCTGGTACATGTATAACTGCGACAGTTCGCGTTTCGTTTTTACCGTTATTTAATGGCACTATAACTGATCGATGTATCCAATCCATTTACCAAGAGTCTTTTAAGTGTACAGAAACTGGCTAAGCAGCAGTAGCAA